CTAGATTTTTATTTTTTACATTTTCATTGTAAATGGGCTAAAGCAGTTTAAAAGTAGTCTAACATAAATGTAAATGCTGTAATTTGAGTATTTTAATAAACCATGTAACTTGGATGAATTAGATGCCGGCGGGACCACAGTGCACACGTCTGATGTCGCTCACAGTGGTCCATGGGATCGCTCAGGGAGTTTGTGTTCGCTCAGACACGGGAAAAATTAGAGAGAACATTGGTTGCAAGTAATTAATATGGAAATGGGGAGCTTGTCTCTCTTCATGGATTGTAGTCATAATGGAGGTTCTGCAAATGAAACTGTCATTAAATGTGCATGTGGAGAGTGTTGTCGGAGCGGCTGCTTATTCATCACTGTGACATTTTTCTTGGATCTCATGTCTCCTTTTACTTCTGCAATTCATGTTTACTTTGTGATATTTAGACACTAACATGAAACGAGCGAAAAATTTGAGAATTTTCCTTTTTTTCCTGGGATCCGATGTATAGCTTAGCAATTTCATCCATCATTTCATCATTATGCCTTTGTTATCAGTTGTAAGTCACTCCTTTCCTATACTGGCATGCTTTTGTGCTTCCCTAACAGCCCAAACTTACATGGTTTATTTCAGAATGAAGGAGGAAAGAGCTTTTGGTCTACAAGATATATATTTTTAAATGAATATGGTCAAAATCGGCTCACAATTAATCTCTTCCTGAAAGGGACACTAAACAACCCCAACCTCCTACCAATACATAAAAGTAAGCATTTTCATTGTTTGTATCTCAAAATGAAAGGTTTTAATTTATCAGTACTACTGTTTCAACAGATAACATTCTTCTGTTTTACTACAGAGATTAGAACACACATTGACAAATTGGAATCTAAATACCAAATGTAAATGAAGAGTATTCCTAACACACAAGTTAATTTTGGAGTTCCACAGGGTTTAGTGTTAGGACAAATGCCTTTTATAGTGTAAGTCCTTTCCTTAAAATTCATGGACATTATATATTCTAAAACTTTAGAAATGATATATCGTGTGATGAAAAAGAATGTTCCAATTTGTATTTTAAGTGTGTTTCAACTAAGAGATGGAAAATATGATTTAAGGGGGTCTTATAAGTTTGAAATGCCTAAAGTGAGAACCAATGTTAAGTATAGATGTGTGTCAGTTTTGGGAGTGAAATTATGGAATGGACTTAATGATGAACTGAAGATGTGTTTTTCTTTGTCATTCTTCAGGAAGATTTTAAAAATTAGTATTATACAAGGTTATAGAAATTTGGTTTGTTTAAAAAAATTTTTGCGTTGATTTAATTTCTTGATTTATCATTGATTTCTTTTCAAACTGTTAAAAAACTTATTTATCAATGCTATTTATTTTCTTGGTTAAGGATTTGATTATTTCTATGGGGGTAAGGGATAGGATAAGTATAAGCCATAAGGCTTCAGCCTATTCCTTTTTCGGTTTCTGTTTGAGTACTTTTATGTAAAATTATAATCTGTTGTTGTTGTTGTTGACTGAAATAAATTTCAATTCATTCACACGCACACGATGGCAAGCTACATTGTAGCCACAGCTGCCCTGGGGAGCACTGACAGAGGCGAGGCTGCCAAACACTGGCACCACTGGGTCCTCTGACCACCACCAGTAGGCAACGGGTGAAGTGTCTTGCCCAAGGACACAACGACCGAGACTGTCCAAGCCAGGGCTCGAACCTGAAAGACATATCCTGGTCAACAATGGTAAAACAATGACTTAAAGATTCCTCATAGCATCACTGGAGACCAGAGTAATGCCATCTAATGTAAATATCTGGTTTAAAAAACAAAACAAAAACAGCCGAGTACAAAAACCTCAGCTTAGAAGCAGGAAATCAGAGGTCATCCATGCCTGTAGTTTGACTAGTTGATTTATATCATCTGGATTTGTGGATAGCAATGAAAGCGTATGCAGTGTTTTCTAAGACCACCGATTAACATAGATGATCCTACAAAAAACTGGTTGGTGGACTCCCTATATCCAACTTTATTTATTATTCTAATAGCTCTTTTTTGCAATTTAAATATTGAATCCAAATACTGTATGTTTTGTATGTGTTCCCCCAAATTTCTGCACAGTAGGTCATATAAGGCAAAAAAGGAAGTATACAATAAATAAAGGCAGTTCTTATTAAAAAAAAATCTCTTGTTTTATAAAGAATAGAAATAGACTTGGATAATTTTCGTTTCACATGTTCTATGTGGGGCTTCCAACAAAGTTTATCATCAATAATTACTCCTAAAAATTTTGTCTCATATACTCTTTCAATTTCAACATTATTTAAATTCAATTTTACTTTAATATTACTTTTACTACCTCCAAATAACATACATTTTGTTTTACTTTCATTCATATTTCAATGATAGTTTATTAATTACAAACCATCTATTTAACATCATGAGTTCTGTTTCCACTGTTTTCAATAATTTCTTTGTCTTTTCCAGAGCAAAATAAGTTTGTATCATCAGCAAACATCACATATTTTAAAGTATCACTGGCTGTACAAATATCATTTATATAAAGTGAAAATAACTTGGGTCCCAAAACAGATCCTTGCGGAACTCCACAAGTTACTTTTCTAAGTTTAGATTTCATGTTATTAATACTCACATATTGGAACCTATTATTAAAGTAACTATTTAACCAAAATTGTACAGCACCTCTTCAACCATACCTTTCACACTTCCGTAAAAGTAAAGAATGATCTATCAAAGTGTGTGTGTGTGTGTGTGTGTGTGTGTGTGTGTGTGTGTGTGTGTGTGTGGGGCACTTTTGGGGTCCTTAGGGACTAAGTAAAGCGCTATACAAATACAGGCCATTTACTACTTCAGTGGCTCCCTGTTAAATTCATAATTCCTCTCGTGACATACAACATTTTAAATAATGAGGCCCCATCATATTGTAAAGACTTTACTTTTCCTTATCCTAACAAAGTACTTCCTGGTGTATTTAAAAGTAGAGTGGGAGGCAGAGCCTTCAGTTTTCAGGCTTCTGAAAGCTTTCTGTGGAACCAGCTCCCAGTTTGGATTCAGGAGACAGACATACTCTACTTTTAAGATCAGGCTTAAAACTGAGAATAGGGAAAAAATGAGACTCTGAGTTGTTCAAAATCAAAAGATTAGCAAATTAGTTTGTTGACTATTACTTTGAAAGAATTTAAGCTGCATTTAACTGTGTTAAGTTTCATGATCTCTTCATCTGTTTTACTCTCATCTATGACTGTCTCCCTTGGTGGGTCACTACTAGTTATTATTCTGTACTTTCCCTGGAAGAACCCTGCAGAGTTGTTTCCTCAGAAACTCTAGGGGAGTGTGAAAAACACTGTGGAGGGATTGCGCACGGAGTAATGCCAGTGCAAAATATTTAGAACAGCTAAGTCATTCGAGGGAAACTCTGCACCTGTGTTTAGAAGTAGCTTCAGGCTTTCAGTTTGCTTGCTGGGAAAGCTCAGCATGCTACGTTCTCTTACAGGCTTATAAAATATGAATTGCGTCACAATTGTGTGCTTTGTGAAGGAGGAATTGGCTAAAAGCGAATGCATCCTGCGTGATTTCACAGGAAGTCAGCAGCAAATTTAAGCAATTCGGCTCTCCTTCTCTGTTAAAGCTGAGTTCTTAAATGATTCTTCACAGATTGTTTGATCAAAAATGTTGTAGGTGCTTTTGAGTGCGTCATGTGTTTTACTTTCTAAAGTTATTTTTTTCCCCTCCCCAAATATGTAGTAGATGGGTCAGTCCATGAACCAGATGTCATCTTCTCAGCTTTTTGGATAATAGTGTAAAGGCAGACAAGTCACATGTTTAGACTGCTGCAAACTCGGTACATGGTGTACAAATGACTGCCAAGGTATCAAGTGGCAAATAAACAGTTCCACATGGTGTAACTTAAATGTCACTCAAATGTCAAATCACTTTCATTACCAAAGTAACTTTTGATATTGAGGTTTTGCAGACATGGGCCGCTATGACGCTAACTTGTATCCCACTATGGATGTGTGACAACTTAAGATCCAGAGAATAAGGCCCCAGGTTTACAGAGAGGATGGTGGCCATCTGCCAACCACTAGTCATGAGGGGGGAAAAAATCAGTTGTGTGTGGCAGAAGGGTGATGGCAGAAAATAAGGCCTCAGTCATGCAGGCCAAGACACCACTCAGTGAGCCCTGGTTAACCACCTGTCACTTGGGGAAAAATGTGTATACCTCCAGCAGCCTCCTTGTGCATGTATGCTTTGGTTGCCAGTGTATTGTGGTTGTAGTTTAAATGTAAGTGACCGACTACTAACGGTCTACTAGCACTGTTGAGTTGTAGTGAAACCGAAGTGACAAAAATTGGAAATGGATGCAACCGTCAAAGTAAAAGCTGTGTATCAGAGCTGCAGCTTACCTTTAGGGTGAACCTTCCCAATTTTACTGTTTGCACTTTTTAATGTCTTACCTCTGCCCAACTAATAGACAGTGACTGTTTGCAGGTCAACATAATATACTATAGCCAACCCTGGCAGTCTGCTAGCAAACAAAGCAATCACTAGGATGTTTTCGGTGCAGCACTTTGCCAGTAATGTCAGCAGCACTTTGCCTTGCAGCCTTGATGACCAGCACATGACCTTTTTTTTTTTTTTTTTTTTTTTTTTTTTTTTTTTTAATTAATTAATTTTTTTATACATGGTTGAAGTTCTGGTTAGATTGGCTCGCGTACATGCACAGAATCTGCATAAGAGAACAACAAGCACTGGCAGCTACAGTCCATAGCAGTGCAGCTGGTTTCTGACTGGGATGAGGAACTCTCTTTAAAGGCAGCTGAATGAAGTACCTGACAGTGGATGAACTAACTGGCTGCACCAATCAGGTGTACACTGTTAAAGTAGCTTTATACAAAATAGTCCAAGAATAAAAATAAGGAGCTGAAAATGAATGTGTCATGTTTAACTCTTTTAAATTAATTTTGTGTTTTCTTACATTTCAGGAGTGTTGTTTCCCCTGGTTGAAGACGGTACTTTCCAACCAGACTCTGCATTACCATTGCGCCCATGAGGTAACGTCAGGACTTACCGGCCCCTCATTATCACCCTTGGTCCATCCATTTCCCTCCCCTCTGACCCTTCCTTCCTTGCACCTTCCCAACCATGGGCCAAAAGATCTCTGGAACCATTAAGTCAGTCGATGTACGTGGAGAGCCATCATACAGGCCTGTTCGACGTGAACTGCGGGGCCCAGATTTCTGTCGGCCACCTAGGCTGGACTTGCTGCTGGACATGCCCCCTGCAAGCCCAGAGACTCAGCTTCAGCACGCCTGGAACCCTGACGACCGATCACTCAATGTCTTTGTTAAGGAGGATGACAAGCTGACGTTCCACAGACACCCTGTAGCACAAAGCACAGACTGTATCCGAGGTAAGGTGGGATATACAAGGGGCCTCCATGTATGGAGGATTCACTGGCCAGCCAGACAGAGAGGCACCCACGCTGTTGTGGGAGTGGCCTCTGCTGAAGCGCCTCTACACTCGGTGGGCTACACAGCCTTGGTGGGCTCAGACTCGGAGTCCTGGGGCTGGGACTTGGGTCGGAACAGACTCTACCATGATGGGAAGAACCGGCCTGTTTCCACATCAGCACCCACATATCCCTCTTTCCTGGAGCCAGATGAATCGTTTGTGCTTCCGGACTGTCTGACAGTGATACTAGACATGGATGAAGGCACGCTGAGCTTCATGGTAGATGGACAGTACTTAGGAGTGGCTTTCAGGGGGCTGAAGGGCAAGAGACTCTATCCTATCGTCAGCGCTGTGTGGGGGCACTGTGAAGTGTCGATTCGCTACGTTAACGGACTAGATCGTAAGTACAACACTGTGTTTTCTGCACTTTAATCTTTGAAATTATTTTTCTGACAGGCTGGCACAAAAGGTTCTGTTCAGTAGGGCTGGGCCATATCATACCGTTCACGGTAATACCGGTATAATGTTGGGCAACGATAAGAAAATGCCATAGAATATGGGTAAAACGCACATGCACAGTGCCTTTGTTTTCATATGCACATGGCGGAAAAAACATGGCAGCGACAGAGAATGAAAAAGGCGAAAGCGGATTGTTGAATGAAACGGATGAACCAGAATTGGTTTGTAAAAATGCTGCAACTTCAGTGATGTGGAACTGGTTTAGCTTTCGTCTGTCAGATACACAACAAAGCACTATTTTTGGTAGAGCATGCTAGCGGGCCGTCGTTATTACCTTGTTTTTTGGAAAATGCGGCACACTTAAAATCAATCCTTTGATTTTTCTGAAAGCCGACAGTGCCCCTTATAATCCCGTGTGCCTTATGTATGAATTCTGGTTGTGTTTACTGACCTCAAAACGATTTTATGTCGTACACGGCGCTCGAAAATCTGTCAAATGTTTTAGTACGACTTTGCTAAGCTACGAAGCCGCACCGCTTGATGGATTGTTGGAGCATTACGGCTAACGTAGGCAGGAGCCTCGCGGAGTGATACGTACTGTGCTTCAACATAATATTACGTGTGTGTGTGTGTGTGTGTGTGTGTTTAACCTCTTTTTAAGTTTTGTGGATATTATACATGGTTATGCTGAGGATATGTCGGCCAATTTTCACTGGAAATGCTTTTTGGTTAAACTGTCAGCAAGGAATTTGCATTTGCACTGTTAAATCTTTATATAACTTTAATGCACATAAAAAAACAGCTGCTTGTTTAAGTGAAAATACATTGATGGTTTTTTTTGGGTTTTTTTGCACGAATAAAGTTGTGGAATTGTAAAGTATTTTGTCTAGTGTCAATTATATCGTTATCACAAATTTTCGAATGTATATCGTGATAAATATTTTTGGTCATATGCTCTACTGTTCAGAACCATGTTTTGTTTTTGTTTTTTGGGGTTTTTTTTTTGTTTTTGTTGTTTGTTTGTTTTTTTGTTTTTGTTTTTTGTTTGGGATGTAGAACAAGTTCACAATGAGTCGTCTAAATGCAAATTCTCTCCTAGCAAGCACTAAGTGACTGGGAAGAAAAAACTCCCTTTTAAAAGTAAGACAGCTCTAGCAGAACTAGGCTTAGGGAGGAGCAACTGCTTGCTGTGACTGATTGGTGGGTGAGGGGAACACATGGAGAGATGAAGAAAGTGTTGCAACAGAAATGACATAGGAAGGGAAGATATAATTTCTTTCCATTCCCTTTACGGTCTTCAGTAATCTCCAGCATCTGCTTTTACCTTCTGCTGTTTGTTTTCTGACAGTGTTGAGCTTTAATACTGTATAATTTATCAAAACATGTTACATAGCATGCATTTAGGGGAGCACTTTCCAAAGTGAGACTGGCACAAATTGAATGTCTTGACTTTTCTGCTTAATTCTTGTTTAAGTTTTGCATGGGCTTCTCTTACTAGAGCTCATGCAGCTTTTTAGGTTGTCTGTGGACTGCTGTGTTGATACCTACTTGAACTTAATTTGTAGTCAGCATGCACACACAGATTTGAGTTTCATATATATATATATATAGAAGTGTAATAACTTTCACGGTGTGAAAAGCACATAACTCGTAGCTCTCTACAGAGTCGACTAGAGCCCGTTTTGCTGATTGCATTTGCATCGCTGCAGAAATGCGGAGAGTTGGATGTGTTGGGCAAATTTTCCACACTGTGGATATGTAATGTTTATGGCTGCAAATCAGGAAATACTTCTATTTAGAGCAGCTCATTAGGGCTTCAGTGACCCAGGGTGTGATTTGTGTTGTAACATCTTGGAGTCCAGCGAAACTGGGAGAGGAGGGAGCAATTCTAGCAAAGGCATGTTTATCTAATATTTAATACACGAGTGATGTGGAGGATTAACCATTGGTAATAGTGTGGATGATTTCCAAGTGCTTATAACATGTGTTGGCTCTCAGGATATATGGTTTGAGGCAGTTAGAAATGCTCAATGAATTTCCATCTACAAAAAGCCCACAATAGGAGGGACTGCTGCTTTGTTAACCACTAGGAAGCAGCTGAAAGATGTCTCTGTACTAAAGCGTGCTATTCATACTTCATTTGTGGCACTTTCATACAGACTTCAACTTTCAGACACGCAGAAGGCAAACATCCAGCTCTGTCCACTGCTGTTCCAAACTTAAACAAAGTGAATGTGCGTGCGTGCGCTGGCTTTGTGTGTTTTCTGTTAAATGTCATCATTCCCTAACCCAGAGACTGGAGTCGGCTCAGATTGCGTAACAGCCCTGCCCTCAGTCAACCCTCCAGCTCTTGCCTGCATGTTGCGCGCAGGCCCAAAACAGGCCGGGGGCGTTGCCAACAGTGTGGCACGGACGCTGTGTCCATGGCTGTGAGCCATGTGTGGACAGCAGACAGTTGAGGGGGAGTTCTGGAGGATTTCCCAGTGTGCTTCTGAGTTAAGCGTCTAGTCTTGAATGGTGAGAAACTTAAGGTTAAAGTTGGCTCTGTGAACAAAACATGCCACAGTACATCTGTCGTTACATCATGACGATCACACTTGTTGCGTAGATATGATAACATTTTCCCACCTTCGTGTGAAGGTGGGATTTGGCTAGTGTGAAAAATATGTTAAAATACTAATGTGGTCTGTGTAAGGATTAGGCATGGCACTTTTCTTTGACTAGTTTCAGTTCACAACTCACTGTATGCTAGTCCTTTTTATATCAGTGATAAGCCCTTGGACAGCTAGTAACATGGTTGAAACGGAGAATCCACTTTAAAGTTGCATGCTATCAAAAAGAGGGATTTCATTGAGTGTTCTGAATGTATGGATCCACGGCTGAACGTGAAGCTGCTGTAATGTCCGGCCCAGACCAAAGGAAATCTTGCTTTGAAGTGTTAACATTTACTGCTGTTTTCAAAAAGTGAGTACAACACAGCCCCGAACTTTAGAAGGTCGAGGTATTTCTTGTCTCTGTCCTACAGAACATTTGGTCAATTGTTTTTATTGTCAATATATGGCGACACATTTAAGCAGCCGACTGTCAGCCAGTGGTATCATTCTTTTAATGTAATGTGATTTCAGAGTTCGGTCACAGCGATGATCAGTGGAATGTCCTGAGGATATAAGCTCGGCTGTCTCAATTGTCCACTTGGCCCCTCAGTTAGGTCTAATAAGAGGATGTGGGTATGTGGTTGTATGGTGTACACAGTTTCCCACATATAAGAGCTCAATGTGTTTTGTTTTGTCTGTTATTTTTATTTTTTTTGGGGGGGGGTGAAAAGTGTGAAAGCCACACCACAAGGCTCAGGCCTTTTGGAGGTCATTTGATTGTCGGGTACTCTGTGACTAGGGCTGTCCAAAAAACAAACTATTCTAATCAACAGTAAAAATTACTGTGGGATTAGATATTCATTCATTGCTGTCTTTCATGATTGTTGCCTATTTTTGTGCGTGATACTATTTGAAGTTCTGACATCATGACAGCATCGTTTGTGACTAGAAAAGATAAAGGACCGGTATCAGGAGCTGCCGTCCTGCAGGTGGTGGTACTCATTCAGCAGTGATGATGGTGATCTTTGCGATGGATGTAAAAGTTAAAAACATGAAATGCTAAGATGAGTTTCCAAAAATACCTACTCGGGTAAATTCTCTGCGGCAACATAGACCTAATCGCATATAAGATGTAGCTAAAAGGTGTGCCAGTATAGCATGGAAGTGACTATACAGCAGTCTGCACTGGTCTGTCAGGAATGGATGTGCTTTTAGCAAGTAAATTGTTAGTGATTCTCATTAGTTTAACTCTCAGAACATTTAGTTTGTTTTCTATTGACGAGCTTCATTAGTCTTTGCAAAAATAAACAGTTTGTTTTCATTTTCATTTTGCTTCTTAACATTTTAAATTATAGATTAATGATCCATGAATCGACACAATCGTACTCCCATTTGTCTGCCTGGTATATCGTGTTTTTGTCTGTTGAGTTTGGAAGTCTCAAATGTTCAGACGAGCCTGTGTTGTGGCAGATTGCACATGGGAGATCAGTGTATGATATTAGACACAAAGCACATCTCTCTGATGTAGAGAAGAATAGAAGCGTCAATATGTATGCTCGGAGATGTCAGTGCTCCCTTATTCCTGGGCCTCACAGAGGATTCACTGATTGTTCGCTTTCTCGGTTCTTGGTTTTTCATGTGTCATGTAGTTCTTTCATTCCTTTCTTCCCCTCGTTCTACCCCCACTTGGACTCCTTTGTTCTTCATCTCACTCCCCAGGAAGCGAAAAGAGATGAGTATCCTTTTACCCTTCTCCTGTCTGTATTGTCCCTTAATACCCCACATTAAAGCAGTTTTCTCATCCTCACAGACTTCCACTCAACGCCAAACTTTGGCCTTGAGTCCCAGATACAGTTGAAAGCCACACCTACTGAGACGGGATTTATTTATTTATTATTATTATTATTTTGATTATTTATTTTTACTTTTTTAAATCACTTTTATACCTGTAACTGGCTATCATGGTGTCACTGGATTTTGGCCTGATCTTTCTATCAACCACACCAGGCCTCATGATACCACAGTCGGTGTAATGGCAGCAATTTGCACCACATAAGAAGGGGTTCAGACATCCTGCTGACATGCATGTCCGCCCCTGGTTGTAAATCAACTGTGTTTGCCTCCAATTCTCATTGTGTTTCATTACCTCCCTCCTGTTTCATAGTCTTTCTCCCCCTTCCTTTCAACACTGATACCCCCCCCC